AGATCGGGGGGCCGCTCCTCCCAACTACACCTCTCCAGGTCTCACTATCGTTGCCCACGTGAGCGTTAAAGTCCCCCAGCAGAATGAGGGAGTCACCGGAAGGAGCGCTTTCCAGCACCCCCTCCAAGGTCTTCAAAAAGGGTGGGTAGTCTGAACTGTAGTTTGACGCATAAGCACAGACCACAGTCAGAACCCGTCCACCCACACGTAGGCGGAGGGAGGCTTACCTCTCATTCACTGGAGTAAACCCCAAGGTACAGGCACCAAGATGGGGAGCAACTAGTATGCCCACCCCTGCTTGGTGCCTCTCAGTGGGAGCAACTCCAGAGTGGTAGAAAGTCCAACCCGTTTCAAGGAAACTGGTTCCAGAGCCAGAGCCATGCGTTGAGGTGAGTCCGACTACATCTAGTCGGAACCTCTCAACCTCACACACCAACTCAAGCTCCTTCCTCACCAGAGAGGTGACATTCCATGTGCCAAGAGCCAGCTTCTGTAGCCGAGGATCAGACCGGCTGGGTCCCCACCCTCGACTACCACCCGTCACACACTGCACCCGACCCCTTTGGCCCCTCCCACGAGTGGTGAGCCCATGGGAAGGGGGACCCATGTTTCCTCTTCGTGCCCCACCTCCAGGCCTGGCTCCAGAGGGGGCCATGGTGACCCACGTCCGGGCGAGGGAACACGGTTTCCATTTATATAATTCATCATAAGAGGTCTTCGGGCTGCTCTTTGTCTGATCCCTCACCTTGGACCTGTTTGCCATGGGTGACCCTTCCAGAGGCAGAAAGCCTCAGACAACTTAGCTCCTAGGATCATTGAGACACTCAAACTCCTCCACCACGGCAAGGTGGCAGCCCAGGGATCTGAAATTTCTGAATAATATGTGCAATTGTACACTGGCGGAACAAATCAGAACCGGGCCAGGGGTGGAGGATTCTAAGGTATCCTGCCACCATTAGTCACGTATCCGGTCCATGATAGTGTATTTACTAATAAGTTTACATTGTTTTAATGTATTTCAGAGACTTTTAACACAGACAAATTTATCCCTCATTCCTACCTATTGATCATCAGCACCTCAAAACCCACGTTCCTCGTCTTTTCCGTCCACGAAAAAAACAAACGCTAGCTGCATATCTTTGTACTCTTTTAGTCACAGGTGAATAAACATTCATATTTTTATAATTTTCCTGCAACGCTTTCTTCGATCTATTCTGTGTTTGCCACTAAATATCTTTTAATTTTGTTAAACTGCAATGTTAGGTCATGTTATTTCCAGTCTTAGGGGTACCATCATTTCTGTCCAAGCCTTTTCCATGAGTTAATTTTTGTTGTTGTTGAAAAGGAACGTTTGAATTGGTAAATTTTTATTTATTATTACTTCTGTTTGATTCAAGTTATTTCTGTGACCATTGTGGGGTGTTCTTTTATTGAATAAGAGTACCAGTTGTGCCAGCACACACACGCAGCACTCTCTGGGTGTGTGTGCGTACATGATTCTTAACAGTCTTTTATTCTCCATTAGCAGCAGAGCAGCGACTTTGAATGGAAATTATTATTATAATTGTTTCATCTCTTGACCTCCTCTCATACCTGCAGTGGTCATCTCCATCATTCCGATTTCATGCGTCCAAATCTTTGAGCTCCAATTCCACAAAACCCATAAATGAAATAATTAATTTCCACGTGACCCTCCGTTTATAACAGAACCCCAGCATGTCACAATTTTTACTCTACTGAGGGAGAGGACTGATGAATAATTCTCCGCTGTTCTTCTCTGAGCTGAGGAAAACGTGAATTACAGCACTGCGCCGTGGACATGCGCGGAGCTGCAGCGAACATGGCGGCCTGCATCTGAAAGTGGGGAGTCTCATCAAAACACGCCACTCAGACGGTCGGTACCCCTCCTGTCTCGTTTTTATGCTCACGTGCCACAAATGACTGCTTTCTGACTTGTTCACCTATCCGAGACTGAACTCGGTTCGCTTTCCTCCAGCAGGCTGCTAGCAGAGCGTGTGTACGCTGTTTTCTGTGCAGGCTGGGCGCTTACAGCAGCGATACTCAACTCTGAACATTTTCTCTGCTTTTGTTTGTTTTCTGTGTTCCCGCAGAGCGCTGCTCTGGTTAAAGTATAATATTTCACGTTTAGTGTTTCCCTGCAGCTTTAGGCCGTGGTAACGTTTACCCGGTGTAGCGAGGACCGTCCCGCCCACTAAATGTGCATGCTACAACCCAAATAAAAATGCGTCACTGTTTTCCTTACGTTTAATGATATGCTGTCCTTTAGCAGCTCTCCACCTAAAACTCAAACACACTGTCGCTACTCCAGCTTGTTCAGTATGCCCATGTGTAAATCCTCCCGAGTTTTACGCTTTTATTCAGTGTAAAAATGATTACATTTGTTAGAATGATTCACATTTATAATACCTTCTCAATTGTTGGATACCCAGCCCTTGCAGGTGTTCACTCACTGACCTTCATGTAAGAGGGAAACATCAGCACTGTCCCAGAATGAATTCTGTTTCACCCCAAATGCAAAAAACTCCCAACTAAAATCGTTTTTAAAGGTGCAATATGTAAGAACAAAGTGAGTATTTTACAGTGAGAAAACCCCAAAAGTTGAATGTTTCTGTCATTTTGGAAGGAAGGTTATTCAGACACATATTTCATATCCAGCTGGCTGGGATTAACACTTTTTTTCTTTTCAAAACAAAGGAAGGAGTGTCGTAACTACTGTTACCCCAACTACTGTGGGGTTGCCGTGTCTTCTGCGAGCTAATACCGCAGCGCCGACAGTTGTAATTTGACAATGGCCAGCAAAAAGCTCTAAGTTTATTCCTTTCTACATAATGCACCTTTGAAGTCAAATTTCTATCTTATCTATCTACAGGGTTCCCCCCAGCGCTTTATAAGCCTGGCGGGTGGCCAGGCTTTGCTTGCGTCAAGCCCCGCCCCCACCCCACCGCGTCCGCTGACACGACTGGCCGCCAGGCTTAACTCATTTTCTGGTGTAAACCCTCTATCTATCTATCTATCTATCTATCTATCTATCTATCTATCTATCTATCTATCTATCTATCTATCTATCTATCTATCTATCTATCTATCTATCTATCTATCTATCTATCTATCTATCTGTCTGTCTGTCTGTCTGTCTGTCTGTCTGTCTGTCTGTCTGTCTGTCTGTCTGTCTGTCTGTCTGTCTGTCTGTCTGTCTGTCTGTCCATTTAACTTCTTGGAAATTAGTATAATCATTAGCATTTTTATAAATCCATTTTCATGATGGTCGCATGGTGGTGCAGCTGGTAGCACTGCCAGGTCATTGGTTCCATTCCCAGCTGTGTCCTTCCTGCGTTGCATGCATGGATTTTCTTTGGGTACTCTGTTTCCACCCTCAACAACATGCATGTCGGGTTAAATTAAACTGGAGTAGAAATACCTTTTTTGGTTGACTGGACACTTAATTATCCCTATGTGAGTGTGTGCATGGTTGTTTCTATGCATCCCTATGGACTGACGACTGTGTGTCCCCCTGCCTCTCGCGCAAGGACTGCTGCTGAAAGATACACCAGCTTCCTGCAACTTTAGTGAGGATGAAGCTGATCAGAGGATGGAGGGATATGTTTTGTGACTGTTGGTAGAGTCACAGATTCTGATTTCACATTCTCTGATCTATCAGAGATTTTGGCCAATATTGGATTTGTCTTCTAGAACTTAATCACACAGAACATTTTTGGGAAAAACTGCATTAATTTGGAATTAAATACTTCTACAAAACATAAACACAAGATGAGTTTATGGATCAAATAGAAACAAAACAAGAAACTCTTGAATTTTGATTTCAGATTGGCTGATCACTGACTAAGCTGATTGTTCTTGTTATTGGGGTGGAACATTAAAACACCAATAGTTGTGTGTTTCATTCCTCGAACTTGAAGTGATTTAGGCCCTGTCCACCCATAGCCAGGGATCTACCAAAACGTAGATATTTTTCTACGTTTTGGCCTGCCATCCACACGAAAACGGAGTTTTTTTCACACAAAAAAAGATCTTTTTAAAAACTGCGGCCAAAGTGAAGAAATGCATTTTCTCCGTTTTGAGTGTCTGCGTGTGGACAGACAAAACCGGAGTTTTAAGGTCCGCAACGTCACTTTCCGCGACAAAAAAATGCTGACATCACGTGTGCGACCTGTGTTTACACTAGCCGTCAGCATGGATGCCCTCAGAGCTGCGCTCGCTTTATCATTTGTCCAAGCGCTTTTTGCTTGTTTGTTTTTGCAAGTGGAATTACTGCTCCTTGCGGAAGACCACAGATGAAGGACGAGGTTAAGAACGAGGGAAGTACTGCCGCCTACAGGTCTGGCATGTCCTTTACAACATATTTATCTGGGTGTGGATGCAAGTTTTTGGAGGGGCAGATATTCGTTTTTAAAAATTCCTGGCTACTAGGCCTTAGTTTTATGTCATCTTTTCTAAAAGCGTTCCCTTGCATATTGTTCTGGAGACCGATCCTGGGTCATTTTTCGGGTTTTCATGTTTTGTGAACTTTACATCAATCCTGGATCAGTGGTGGAAATGGAGGTAGTAAACATTTAAGTGCTTCCTGGTCTGTTGAGCAGTTTTTGTCTGACCCTCCTAAATGAGGCAGACGGACCAATGCAAACACAGAGGCTTTCTGCAGGAGAGCTGGAATCCTTTTCATGTTGGCCTGCAGACATCACACTTCCACACATCTTAATGGCTTTTATGGCAGCCTGGAATCTTTATGGCTTCTTCTGACTCTCTGGGATTCATTGCAGAGGGTCTTCAGAGGGAGGGCAAAGGAGGCATGCGCTGCGTACTGGGGAGATTTTAACACTCACATATATGGACAAAATTTGGAATATTTCCTATCAGAAACTTTGCATTTTTTTGCAGTAATCAGGATTATGCTGACACTTTCTACAAACCTAATTTGAATCGTCATGGACCTTGTGGTAAAAACCTTTAAAATATAAATATTCCAGTTGATTAATAGTAAACAGTTGCTAACTCAGTCAGGAGAAAATAAACAAAGGTAAAATTTAAAGTGAAAAAGCATCAGATGGTAAATACAAAAGTAAAATAAGGTTATTTATTATGCTGAAAGCAAAAGAAATGCAGCAAAAATTAAATGTGAATTAGATTATACTAAATAATTTTAATTGTGCAAATAAGTGTGGGGTAAAGAAAAGAGACGGTTATAGAAGTGAGAGCAGACCTGAGTTTTTTTGAGTTTCTTCCAGATTTGGTGCATGTAAAATGTAGAGTTGTCCTTGCGTGTCAAGTTTGATTCAAGTAGAATTATAAACCTAGAGAGAAAGTTGAGAGACGTTTAACCTTAAATGATAAAACTAGGAATAATTTCTTTCTGAACGCTTATATACCTTTTTATTCTGATATCTTCTTTTTCTGTTAACCCTTTGATGCATGAATTATGAAATCTTCAACCATGATTTTTTTTAACAATTTTTTTCATTCGTCTTTAGGTGTGAATGAAACAAATTTCAACAAATATTTTTGTAAAATTTTATAATTTACAAATAATTTATTACATGTCCACTTCAGTGGACAGCGTGCATTCTGAACATGAAATATGTTGGCTTGGCTTACTGAAGTCCAAACGGAGGGGCTCAAATGCAATAAAGTCTTCAACAGCTGTGCTTAATAGCAAAAACAAATAAATAACAATTTTGATTACCTGTCCACTGTAGTAGTGACCATTATGCATCAAAGGGTTAAAGATCTAAAATGTATCTAGTAATTGAAACAGGAAATTTTTTCTCACAAAATCTGTAACACGTCATCAAATCAACTTCCTCGAACCAACAAAATATGAAATATTTCATTCAGTGAACTTGTAATAAAGATTTTTTGTTTTTATCTTATTGCAGTGTCTCCTTAGGCTTTTGCTTCTCTGATGATCATCATGGGCCGAACACCACAGAGAGGTAAGCCTGCACTTTTCTGTTTCTGTGGCTGTCCCATCATTCATGCTTTAGAAGAACTGATAGAATATAACACTAGTTTAATCCCAAAGATCAGTCCTGATTCAACCATTATTAGAGCCCTTTGTAGTTGAATGCTTTGTTAAAATTTTCTATTAAATATTACAAATGTGGATTTTGTGCCTTCAGTCGCAGCATTAAAGGTCTGTGTATCAAAAGCTCCTAAAATCCGATGATTGGTTAAAATCCTCATTTTGATTTTAGATCAAAAAGACGAGAAGAAGGGGAGACGGAGCAGCATCCCAGCAGGCTCTGCCCTCGACAAATCTAATGGTTAGTAGTTCACATCCCTGCCATGTCTATTGCTCTTAACTCAGCTCTTAACTCTAGTGTAAAGCTTGCAGTCACTAAATCGGTTTTGGCAAATATACCTCTCCTCTTCTTTACCACCTTATCAGGGTAATGGGGTTTTGGTGTCCCAATGATCCTTGAAGCTAAGTGGTCAGGGGAATAATGCTCCTGGTAGGGTCACCTGTGGCAAATGGGTCCTGGGAAAAGGGTCAAACAACAAGCAGCCCAATGACCTTTAAATGATGATCAAATTAAGTGGAAACAGTGTTTCCTTGCCCAGACGTGGGTCACTGGGGCCCCCCTCTGGAGCTAGGCCTGGAGATGGGGCACTTTGGGGCCTTGTGGACGGAGTTTTACCCAGCGGGGCACAGGGGTTCCCCTTCCCATAAGCTCACCCCTTGTGGGAGGGAACAAAGAGGTTGGGTACAGTGTGAGCTGGGCGTTGGTCAGAGGCGAGGACCATGGCGGTCTGATGCTTAGTATGAGAAGCTTTCAGGACATGGAGGGTTACCATAGTTTTTGGTGGGGGAAGAGCCTGAGGTTGAGAATTTCAGGCTAGATATGGTTGGACTCTAGCCTGGCAAGCCAGCAAATTCATTTATTAAAAAATAAAATAAAATTCTGAAAAAGAAATTCAATTTGTAAACTTTTTTTATGCAGAAAATTCTATAAATGTAATGCTTAATTTTAATGCCTTGTATTTGTGATTTTTAATTATCTATAATTTATGTCACACCAGGCAGTTTTTTCAGTTTTTTTTACATCGTTTGCTGTTTTTCAATGTTTTTGTTTATAGAACCGTTCAGTTGGGAGGAATATCTGAGAGAGACCTCATCCACTGCAGCTTCACCTAGTTGCTTCAAACAGGTAGTTTACCTGAGATTACAATAAAAAAATCTTTTTCAGAAAATTTCTTTTATCTTTAGTAATGTTACACACATTTTGTTTTAATTGTCACTGTTTTTATTCAATAATTGGTGACATTTGGTTAAACTGGCTGTTAAAAGGACAAGGTTGTGTGTAATTGTGTAGCTTTGTTAGTTTCCAACTTCTGAAGTTGACTGAAAGTGTTTCTGTGCTTCTCTACAGTCCAGAGTGCCTCCAGCTAATGATTTTAAAGCAGGTATGAAACTTGAAGCACGTGATCCTCGCAACTCGAACTCAGTGTGCATCGCTACGGTGATGGGCATGATGGGTACTCGTCTGCGCCTGCGTCTGGATGGGAGTGACAACACCAATGATTTCTGGCGACTTGTGGACTCTTTGGACATCCAACCAATTGGAACCTGTGAAAGGAACGGAGACATGCTGCAGCCGCCTCTAGGTGGGTCCATTTCACCCTCTTCAGGGTAAGGCTGTCTTTCAATGACAGTTCCTGGAAAATGGAAAAGAAGGTGGAGTATGCGCTGAGTGTGGATATGAGTATGGTATGGTATGATCTGTAATGGATAATTCAAAGCTTTAGACATTTTTTTTAACTTATTTAGAATTTTCAACATTATACATTAAAGAGCAAGTTACTTCAAATCAACATTTTTTTTTGCCAATAAACTATATAAATGAGTGTCCAATTGTGCTGTAGACAAATGTAGTCAATAATTCGGCACTTTAATGCATCTTAGTTAAAATTTAAATATTCTGCCTAAAACTGTCAGTGTTGCACCGTCGTCAGGTAAAAACTCTGCACTGCGTTTGAATTTAAATCTGCCATTGCTATTGGCTAAGAGGTACACTATGATGTTAGATGGTACATTATGATGTCACAATTTTGTGAGTGTGTGTATTTGTTAGCGGCAACAGCATTTGTTGCATTTTTCAAACAGGAAGTGGGAGTTGAGTAAGAATCTGGTAGGGGATGACTTGCTCTTTAAACATACAATGACATTTATCTAATACACAAAAAGAACAAAACAATAATAGAATAAATAAAGGTATCATACAGTATACTTTTGTGTGCATAAATACATAAACACAATATCAAAAAGATCCATTTTCATTTGTAGAATAGAAGTTGTTCATTCCTTTACAGTGTTTCCCCTAGGAATTTTTCCAGCTGTGGTGGTGGTAGTGGGGGTAGGGGTGGGGGGGTGGGGGAGGGGGTGGGGCGATGAAATTATGACACGTCTCACCTTAATGTTAATATTGTTTTATTTGATGCACTCCACTTTGAACTGCATCAATCCAGCAACTGCTGCATTTTAATTACTAGCATTAAAGGTGAATACACCAATATTTGCACAAGAATAATTTTTGTTTTAAACTCTCAGTGACACACTTTGCAAGAAGGGGTTTGGCATTTAATTTTTCTTGGCGTCTGGAAAAACATCTCCAGGGCCTTGTGGTCTGATTACAGAATCATTTTAAATTTTAATAGGGGAAGACTGCAGGAGGGAACGGTAAAATACAGGGGGTCCCCAGCAAAAACTAGAAACTTAACGAGTCTGGTGAAACCCGCTGATTTTCCATCAGGCAGTCAAGGGGCAGCTCCAACTAAAACAATTCATATGTAAATATTTTGCATAATTATTGCTAAATCTCATATTTTTGCTGCTTTAGTGCTGCAACAAGGGCCACCAGGCTAATGAGCACTGGGGGAAACCCTGCCAAGATCGTCAACACTCATCTATCTTAATACTATTGAAACATGTAAACCAAAAAGCTTTATATCCACTGCTACCTTTCTAATTTAAACTCGGTAATGTATGCTGTAACTTCACCTTGCTCTGCCTCCTTGCTGCCTGCCGGCTGTGATCACAAGCAACAACAGAGTAGTTCCCGCTGCTTCTTCGGGAAACAGCGCAAATAAACCAAAATAAACTTGGGATCTTGAAGGCGTGGCGCTGGGATTTCAGCGCCTATGTAAGAGAAACACCGCTTTATACAGTAGGGCAAAAAAGTATTTAGTCAGCCACCAATTGTGCAAGTTATCCCACTTAAACGATGAGAGGCCTGTAATTTTCATCACACCTCAACTATGAAAGACCAAATGAGAAAAAAATCCAGAAAAAATCATGTGGTCTGATTTTTAAAGAATTAATTAGCAAATTATGCTGGACAATAAATATTTGGTCAATAACAAAATTCCATGTCAATCATTTTTTTAACGTTTTCTGTAAGTCTTCACAATGTTTTGACACACTGTTGCTGGTATTTTGGCCCATTCATCCATGCCGATCTCCTCTAGATCAGTGATGTTTAGGTGCTGTCGCTGGGCAATCCTTCCAAATATTTTCTATGGGGTTGAAATCTGGAGACTGGCTAGGCCACTCAAAGACCATGAAATGCTTATATGAAGCCACTCCTTCCTTGCCTGGGTGGTGTGTTTGGGATCTGTCATGCTGAAAGACCCAGCCGCGTTTTATCTTCAATGCTCTTGCTGATGGAAGGAGGTGCTCACTCAAAATCTGACTATGCATGGCCCCATTCATTCTTTACCTCACACGGATCAGTTATCCTGGTCCCTTTGCAGAAAACTGGCCCAAAGCATGATGTTTCCACCCCCATGCTTTAGTTTAATCTGTTTGGTTTGGTTTCATCTGACCATATGACATTCTGCCAATCCTCTTGTGGATCATCCAGATGCTTTCTAGCAAACCTCAGACGGGTCTGCACATGTACTGGCTTAACTGGGGGGCACGTCTGGCAGAGCAGGATTTCAGTTCCTGGTGACATAATATGTTACTGATGGTAGCCTTCGTAACTTTGGGTCCCGCTCTCTGCAGGTCATTCACTAGAACCCCCGTGTAGTTCTGGGATTTTAGCTAACCATTCTAGTGATAATTTTGACCACAAGGTGAGTTCTTGTGAGGAGCCCCTGATCGAGGGAGATTATCAGTGGTCTTGTATGACTTCCATTTTCTAATAATTGCTCCCACAGTCGATTTCTTCACACCAAGCTGCTTACCTATTGCAGATTCAGTCTTCCAGCCTGGTGCAGGTCTACAATCTTGTTCTGGTGTCCTTTGACAGCTCGTTGGTCTTGGCCATAATGAAGTCTGGAGTGTGGACAGGTGTCTTTGAAACTTATAATGAGTTCCAACAGGTGCTATTACAGGTAACGAGTGGAGGACAGAGGAGCCTCTCACAGAAGAAGTTACAGGTCTGTTAGAGCCAGAAATGGTGCTTGTTTGCAGGAGACCAAATACTCATTTCCCACTATTAATTTGCAAAAATGAAAAAATTCAGGCAATGGTATTTTCTGGATTATTTTTCTCATTTTGTCTCTCACAGTGATGTGAGAGACCTGTGATGAAAATTACAGGCCTCTCTCATCATTTTAAGTGGGAGAACATGCACAATTAGTGACTGACTAAAGTTGCCCGTCTGTATATATTTAACCCTGCTTTTCATTCCATTATGGTTGGATGTATCATATGTCTCCATTATACCGTTATCATTTTTTGGCAGCCAGAATGTGGAATATGTATAATATATATTTGATTAGTATTGAAACCCTCATATGAAATATCACCCAGTAAGTAAAACAGAGGACTAGATGGGACCTCCGTCCCTAATATCATATCAGATTCTTCCTTGACATTTTCCCAGTATGCCTCAGTAATTAGACAGACTCAGAATATGTTATTCTCAAATGCGACTCAGAATATGTTATTCTCAAATGCATCTTTTACAGTTAGGGCAGTTTGTGCTGAACTTAGTAACATGTTTAAACATTTATGTGTCAGAATTGAATTTATGCACTGTTTGAACATCATTCTGAACAAAGAGTCTCACTCATCTTGGCAATAAAAGTCAGGATTGGTTGAGTGTCTGTTCCTTTAAGGGTCGAGGATGACTGAGCCCCTTCAGTAGAGTTCAGTTCTGGTCCAACAGTTTGTTTTGTGTCCAGGTTTCAGGATGAATGCATCCTCGTGGCCCATGTTTCTTCTGCGGACGCTTAGCGGTGCAGAAATAGCCCCCGCTGCTGCTTTTAAGAAGGTAAACAACCTTATGGAGGCTAAAGGTTGTCTCTTAATCACACTAAACGTCTAATCGTTTTAGTTTCATTAAAAGTTTAAAAACCAACAGTTTTTTTTAACTCTATTGTTCAGTAGTGGTGGTATGTGTGTAAAATAAAGTAATTCTGTCACACAAACTTTTATTTGTGTTTTGGTAATTGCTGAATTATTATTTACTGAAGGTTTATTTTATACACAGTAAAAGTTGAACAGTTTACAGAGTTAGTTTTTTTCCAAACATGCTTTATATAATTTTAAAATATTTCTAAAAAGCTCAGAATATTCTTTATTTATTTCATTACATTTACTGCAAATGCCTTTTTCCTATGTTAAGGAACCACCCACTCCTGCTAAAAACTACTTCCACCCTGGTATGAAGCTGGAGGCTGTAGACCGGAAGAACCCCTATCTGATTTGTCCTGCCACAGTGGGAGAGGTCAGAGGTCAGGAGATCTTCGTCATGTTTGATGGTTGGAGAGGTGCGTTTGACTATTGGTGCCCCTTTGACTCCAGAGACATCTTCCCTGTAGGCTGGTGCACCCTGACCAAACACAGCTTACAGCCACCCGGAAACTTCTGTAAGTGCTGCTTTAGTTCATGTCCTTATTTTGTTTGTTTGCTTGTTTAAAAAATCAATCTGAGGATAAATCGCTCACCGACACCACGGGAATTATTGATCTAGCTTCTGTTTAGATTTTCATGCTCCAGCAATTTACATCTAATTCAAAACAAGGGAACCAGAGTTTAATCTCCAGATTAGTGTTTATTGAGTGAGATACATTATAAACATTCACCACAAGAGGGAGGCATAGTTTAGTTTCTATCGTTAACGCCGGGGAAGTTAGACAACAAATAGAAAAGTAGATTCTGTGTTAAATAATTTTTTTTAATTTTTAATCATTCCTATTTTCCTTTGAGATAACACAGTTCATGTTAAACTAGGGGTCTGAAACCGGGGTCAGCTTTGGGGCTACATGTGGCTCTTTGATCCTTCTGCAGGACCAAAAACTTAATACAATAACAAAATCTGTTATTGACAGTTAAATAGCCAACAAACTGACCGCATTTTTATATTCACTCTGATCATTTGTTAAATTATTGAAAGTGGCAGACATTTTTTCACAGGTACAGAAACAATAATCGTACTTCTTCCCTCGTTACATCCATTCTAATGTGAAACTATCCAATCCAATCCAATTTTGTTTATAAAGCGCATTCAATAAGGCATTACAACCAAACAAGGCGCTGTACACTAAAAATGTTAGTTAATTAAACCAGCAAAAAATTACACAATCATGTCGAACACAGATAAAAGATAAAAAGGAAATACAACAAAATTCCCAGAACTTACAGGTAGAAATCAATAAAACACAGGGAGAATAAAAAATTAGAAAATCATTTTTAAAAAGAACCAGTCATGCGGAAGTTGATATTGTGAATTCACTGAATATTTACTATCAGTAAATATTAGCATGTTTTTATAATTCCTTGGTGTGATGACCAGCTATAGTTTACATACTGTCCATCTGGTGATGATACAACACGTGTTAAACTGTTACCTTTATTTAAAGCTCAAGATAAACTTCATGTAGTGAGGAATGTTGTTTAACGAACAGAAAAACATAACACTGTTATGCTAATTTAAAATGTAAAACTTTATTGTTGCGCCTCCCATACTGGATACTTTATACTACATTAAAACAACACAAATGGTTTTCTGTGGCTATTAGATGTTTTTGTTTTGAATGGAAATACTAAAAAGGTGTAATGTACCCAGACCAAGTAAGTGTGTGTGTGTGTGTGTGTGTGTGTGTGTGTGTGTGTGTGTGTGTGTGTGTGTGTGTGTGTGTGTGTGTGTGTGCAAATGGCAGATAAAGATCATATCTGGATTCAAAGAAACCAAATATCTTACCGTAATTCTGCTCACTGATTGCACGAATGCGTTTTATGTTCATATATTTTGGGTTTAGCTGTTAAAATAAACTTTGAAGTTTCCTTTGGCTGATTAATTCAACCAGTCAGGTAGTTTAGTTTAGGTAGGCTTGTTAAAATGACTCTGAGTTGTGAGGAAATGGAAATGTGTTTTTGTGTGTTTGAGATTTTCCTCATGGCTGATGGATGATCATATTTACACGTCTGCTACAGCGTCAGCCCTCAGGGAGGGATGCTTTCAGAAAAACACTAGCTCTTTCTTTAGTGTGGTTTCATTCAGCTATTGCTGATGCCTGAGGGCCAAATACGCTGTTGTTACATGGCATCCCTGTACAAAGAAACATTCATAGCTTTAGAGTCCTCTAGATTTACTCATAAATTAATGTCAGGCCACGGACAGACCTGTTACAAACAACTCAGCTGTTGGGTTTTATTGGCTTGATAACAGAAAAGCCACCTCGGCTTTCTGACTCGTTTTGGTTGTGCTTATGGATGTGTAACTCCAACATCTATCTTAAACTGAGTTAGTGTTTGTCAAAGTGCTATAATATAATGTGGTTTGAGCCCACAGATATATGAGGTGACAATAGTTTGGTTTGTAGAAGTTCAGTTATTATTAAATATTTTCATAAAACTGATGTTTTTATCCTCCCATCACATACTTAAAACTATTGGCCAGACTCGGCATGAAAATTGTAGAAATTCAGTTTAACTACACTTTACCATCTATATAAATATTAACTAGGTTCTGTTTTTCGGGCTAACCCATAAATTATTATAGAAAATCAAAAGTCTCTCCTCTGAATGTTGTAGAACTGGGTTTTTCGCATACGTCACTCTAAGACATCTAACAGGGAAGCTACTGCTGCTTATACATTGTGTTTAGCTGTATTTTGTTTACAGTCATGCTCTCAATTATTACGGAAAATAGCGTTTACAGCTGCAGCAAAACGTCTGAGCCACATGTCCGAGTCCTACACGCATATTTAACTAACATAGGTTTGATCTAAAATAATAACCTACATCTATAAATCCACCTGGAACTGCTATGGTCCTTTTGGACTCCTGATGAGTCCTGTTAGCACAACTCCAGCAACACAGCAGACTGTGTTAGCTCTGGTAAGGGAAAAAAAAGACATTTGGGAAAGCTACGGCACACACACACAGACTGAGACCGGTAGAACCTCAGTGCCATTCTGGATTACTGCAAACAACAACGAGCTAGCGAGCTACCGCAGCATCCCAGTCAGTCAGGAAGAGTTATTCTGGTAAGCTATTTATTGAATATTTTCCAGAGTTTTCGCAATAAATACATGCAGTGGTAAAACTGGCAACACATTGTTTTTTTTAAGCTGTATAACATTAAATCATATTGGGACGATGGAGCTAAGACCTAAAGTCAGCTAAGAACTCCTGGTGGACGTACTACGAGCACAAACAGGAAATATTCAACAAAGTAAACAAGCTGTACCGATTTTGGTTCTGAAGATGAACAGATTCCTCCTGGTGTCCAGATCGACTCGCGGATCTTCTGAGTCAAAGGTTCTCAAACATATCAGCACCTCTGGATGTCCTTCCAGCGGGGGTCGGAGTTCGGTTGAACCGGTCTTATCGTCGTATCTCAGAGAAAAAAAAATCTGACAGACTAGCAGAGGTTTCAGAAGCTACATCTGATTGCTCAAATGCTAACGCAGAAACACAGGAGATCCTCTACTGTTTACACCAGCTGTGTGTGGAGCGTTCCCGGTGTGTCAGATGGTTTGGGCTCAAACTGGATGATATCTTCTGTTTTGAGAGTGCTTTTGAAAAATCCAGCTGTAAAAAATCTAAAATCCTTTTTCATCTGAGGCTTTAATACTATTTAATACATGCCATTCAAAGAAATTTAGCCTCTGGCCATTTACTTTAAACTATATTATTTGCATTAAAATGAACAGAAGCAATAACATCATCAGCTGAAGTTTAATAAAAAATAAATATAAGTATTCATCAGCTGAAATTCAACAGTTGTAAATGCCGTATTTATTTAGTTTTCTTTTTCCCAGTTAGTCACCAAGAAGAGCCTTTTAAAGAACAATAGAGGTCAAACAGAGGTCTGAAAGATAAACAGAAGCTTTCACAGGAAACTGTGGGCAGGATCGCCATTGAGATAAATCATGGCACCTCCAGTTAGGCTGAGAAAGACCTTCAGAAAGATTTGGATCACTCTTGACAAGTTAGCAACACTTGTGACCTTCATGAAGTCATCAGAAGAAAATCTCATCCTTGTAGCAAAGTTTAGCATTAGAAGACCACAAACATTTGGAAACTCTGGGAAACTCCTCAAGTTTAACCTTTTTATCCTGTAGTGAGTAATTATTTAGATTTTTGAACTTTCACTTGTCCAACTGTAAAGAATGGGGGTTAAATGTTCTTTTTTAGGGTTGGATCTCTGTCACTTGCATTTAATAACTGCAGTATCATAATAATCTGCAAAATAATTTATAAATGACAGAATTTCCAATGCTGACATATTTTTATGTTGTTGGCATATTTTAGTGTTATTTTATGCTTTAATAGTCTTGGGTAAGCTGACCAAACAAACTCCAAACAGGGTCCTTTACTAAAATATATGAAAGAGGTTCTTCGTTCATATTTTTAATACATTTGCGGTGGTCTATTGTGGAAAGAAATGCCTTGTACGTCATACTCTAGGGGAAAAAATGCTCAGATGTACCTGTTTAAGCACAGAGAATTCAGCCCAAGGAGGAAGTAGCTTCAGACGACAGGTTTAGAGTTTTACTTCCTGATATTTGGACATCTCACCTCTGATTGGCTAACAGCAACGCAACTCCACCACTGACTCCATTTGCTTTGCAACACTGATGTTTTATCTCCACAAGTAACACGAGCTCAACTCAAGTTGCTAATGCTAATGGTTAGCTTCTGCTGGTCAAGACATTCTCTGCTGTTTCCTGGACGCTAAACCAAGAACAGTCTTCCCCGTCGTGACTCAAGATGGGTGAGTCCATGTGACATTGTGACATAGATCAGTCGCATTTTCAAAAATAATGAGTAGAAAGTAGATAAACGTTTGTTTCTCTCAGCGAAGAGCCTCTAAATTGTTCATCACATACAATTTGTGAGACAACAGTAGCTCAGGAGGTAGAGCAGATTGTCTAGTAATGGGAAGGTTGCAGGTTCAGTCCCGGCTCAGACCAGTGAATGCTGCTGTTGTGTAACAAGACACTGAACTTACCTTGCCTGCTGATGGTGGTCGGAGGGACCGGTGGCGCCAGTGTTTGGCAGGCTTCTCCTCTGTCATTGCGCCCCAGGGCAGCTGTGGCTACATTGTAGCACTGGTCATGATGTAAAGCACCTTGGGGGGTTGTAGAACCCTAAGATGGTGCTATACAAACACAGGCCATTCACATTTAGCAGATTGTTATCATTTTATTATAATAGGCCTGAACTTATTATAGAAATTTCTGACTCTTGTCGTAATAATTTTTCCCATGTCAATGAATTTGATAATAAAAAAAGAAAAGATGTGTGTGGGTTGGCAGTGTTTATGTCCCTTTAAGAAGCTGTACCACCTTGAGTCAAAAATGTGACTCAACATAATACATGTGACAGCCCCATCTAGTGCACAACTTTTGTTTCTACG